TTATGGCCAATTGGTCAAGTGTTGTGGACTGAAATGCATCCCCCTAAAATTCATATGTTGCAGCCTAACCTTCCATGTGACTGTATTTGGAGACAGGGCCTTTAAAAAGGTAATTAAGGTTAAATGAAGTTATAAAGGTGGGGCCCTAATCCAATATGGCTGATGTCCTTATAAGAAGAGAAAGAGATATCAGGGATGAGCACACACAGAGAAAAGACCATGTGAGCTCACAGTGAGAAGGCGGCCATCTGTAAGCCAAGGAGAGAGGCCTCAGGAGAAACCAAACCTGCCAACACCTTGATATTGGACTTCCAGCCTCCAGAACTCTGAGAAAATAAATTTCTGTTGTTAAAGCACCCAGTCTGTGGTATTTTGTCATGGCAACCCTTTGTATTCTGAAAAAGGCCTCCTTAGGGAATTCTAGTATATTTCCCACTTTAAGAAATACTTTTTAGGGTCTGGCCCAGTGGCATAGTGGTTAAGTTCACACACTCCACTTCAGCGGCCTGGGATTTGAAGGTTCAGATCCTGGGTGCAGACCTACACACCACTCATCAAGTCATGCTGAGGTGGAGTCTCACATACAAAAGAGAGGAAGATTGACACAGACGTTAGCTCAGCGACAATCTTCCCGAAGCAAAAAGAGGAAGATTGGCAACAGATGTTGGCTCAGGGCCAATCTTCCTCACTAAAATTTAAAAAAAAAGAATTACTTTTTAAAATTAATTCCCTACCTGATTTATCCCTTATGTATTCCTCTATAAAATGTTCTGGAGGAATCCATGGCCAGTGGACCTACTAATATAACTTACCCAGCTTGGGAAATAAGCAAGTGTTTTCATTGTTCCTCCAATCTCTGGGTTATGATTGATAGCAATACCTTCTGTTTCTATCATGCTTTTTTTTTAATTGTGGTAAAAAACATGTGACATAAAATTTATGATCTTAAACATTTTTAAATGTACAGTTCAATGGTGTTAAGTATATTCACATTGTAAAACAGATCTCCAGAACTTTTTCATCTTGCAAATCTGAAACTCTATATCTATTGAACAATAACTCCATTTCCCCACTCCTCCCAACCCCTGGTAACCACCATTCTACTTTCTGTTTCTATGAATTTGACTACTTTAGATATTTCATATAAGTCGAATCACACAGTATTTGTCTTTTTGTGACTGGTTTATTTTACTTAGCATAATCTCTTTAAGGTTCATCCATATTGTGGGATGTGACAAGATTTCCTAACCTTTTAAGACTGACTAATATTCTGTTGTATGTATACCACATTTGGTTTACCCATTCATCCATTAGTGGACACTTGGGTTACTTCCACCTCTTGGTTATTGTGATTAATGTTGCTATGAACATGCACATGTAAGTATCTCCTCAAGACCCTGCTTTCAAATTTCTGGATAAATACCCAGAAGTGGGATTGCTGGCTCAAGTGGCAGTTCTATTTTTAATTTTTTGAGAGTGAGATCAAGATGGTGGAGTAGGAAGATCCTGAGCTCACCTCCTCCCACAGACACACCACAACTATAACTACATTTAGAACAACTATGGCTGAGAATGACCTGAAGACTAGCAGAACAGATTTTCCACAACTAAGCATATAAAGAAAAAGCCACATCTAGACTTGTAGGAGGAACAGTGACGCAGTCTAGTCAAGACCCACTCCCCCAGCACAGTGACCCACAAGCAGGAGGGAAATCACAGCCATGGAGATTCTCCGGGATGAGCAAGGGGCCCAAGCCCCACACTGGGCTCCCAGCCCTAGGGACCTGCACTGGGCAGACAAGGCCCTATAATGTCTAGCTTTGAAACTCAGCAGGGCTTACATCCAGGGGAGCCCTTTGAAGGGCTGTAGGGAACCAGAACTCCACTCTTAAAGGGCACAGGAATAAACTCACTCACTCTGAGTCCCAGTGCAGTTTGAAGAGTGCTGGGTTATACATGAAGGAGATTCATTGACTAATTTTGGGGCATGTACCAAAGAGGCAAGGATCTGTTGGAACTTTCTCTTGGGACAGAAATGCCGGTGGGTGCCATATTGTTGTTACTCTTCTTCTAACTAGCTGGCCTGGGTCTGGTGGGCACCATTTCTAACACTCTCCATCTACCTTGCTAGCACTGCTCACCTTGCCCCCAGCATCCCGCTGTAGACCTACCCCAGTGGCTCCCACCCTGCCCCACCTAGTGAGCAGCCCCCATTGGTACTGGAGCCCCTCCGATGTGGCTCCAAGCCCAGGGGGCCAGCCCTGCACACCAGCATGCCTGTAGTTTTGGCCCAGGCACAACAGGAGGGTACCCACAGCCTACAAAGGGGACACACCTGGAGCACTTGGCTCTGGTGACCAGGAGGGATTGCACTACTAGGCCCCACAGGAGGCCTTCTACATAAGGCCACCTCTTTGAGACCAGGAGATGTAGCTGATCATCTAATACATAGAAACAAAAACAGAGTTACTCAAAATGAGGAGACAAAGGAATATGTTCCAAATGGAAGAATAAGACAAAACCTCAGAAAAAGACCTAAACAAAATGGAGATAAGCAATCCATCACAAAAAGAGTTTAAAGTAATGGTCATAAAGATACTCACCAAACTCAGGGGAAGAATGGATGAATGCAGTGAGAACTTCAACGAAGAAACAGAAAATATAAAAATGAACCAACCAGAGCTGAAGAATACAATAACTGAAATGAATAAGACACTAGAGTGAATCAACAGCAGATTAGATGACACAGAAGAATGAATCAGTGGTCTGGATAACAAGGTAGTGGAAATCACCCAATTGGAACAGCAAAAAGAAAAAAAATGTAAAAAAATGAAGATAGCTTAAGGGACCCCTGGGACAACATCAAGGGTACAAACATTCACATTATACGGACTCCAGAAGAGAGAAAGGGACAGAAAACCTACTTGAAAAAACAATGGCTGAAAACTTCTCTAACCTGATGAAGGAAACAGACATCTAAGTCCAGAAAGCACAGAGAGTTCCCAAAAAGATGAACCCAAAGAGACCCACACCAAGACACATTATCATTTAACTTTTTGAGAAACCTCCATCCATCTTTCATAGCGGTTGCGCCATTTTATCTATTATGCTTTAAACTCCTCAAAGCACTTTTATATTAATAGTTTTGTCCTCACAACCCTATGAAGTAGGTAGAATGTGGATTATTATCCACATCTTGTACATGAAGTAGTTGAGGCATAAAGAGGGTAAAAGACTTGTATAATATGACAGCTATTTTATGACAAGTTGGCTTCCTAATCCAGCGCACTTTCGATTGACCAGAACATTCAATCAGAGGTAGGGGGTAGGTATGGACCCATAAGGGTGCTGAATCTAAGGGAGGACTTTTTCAAATTTAACCCCACTCTTTTCCTAAATCAATGGAAAACAATTCCTTTTTATGAGAGCTGTTACTGATAGGCATGTATTGTGCATGTGAATGGTACAGAAGTGGTGGAAAAAATGCAAATAACTCTGTCTCTCAGTGACTCTGCCTTGCTTTGCATACGTTTATTCATTTCTCACCCAAATGCTCCTCTAAGGAAAAAGCATCTGCCTGAGGATTGAAACAGAGCTAACAGTTCTCAATGAGGGCATTTGGAAATGTGGGAATGATTAGTTTGGTTCCCTGGCATTTGGTGAGCAGGGCCTGGAACACTGAAAGTCCTGCAGCACAAGATAGACCTACATACAGAAAAACAGTCCCTTCCAAAATGCCAGTGGTGCCCACTTTGAGAAACACAGACTCAAGATGAGATCAGTGGTGACGTCAAGGTGGAGGTTTAGGGGCTTTAGCTTCAACAGTTCTTCAAGCCACTACAAATAATTGTATAATCTGAGTGACAACAGTGTCCTTGCTACAGAAGCACAGCTTCAAGCCAGGTCCCCTAGTCACCCCTATTCTAACAGCTCTCCACCCCTAAGCCTTCCCACAAAGAAATTCTAGAGATGCCACTGAGCATGCTCGGTTCTCGATACCCAGAAGTTCTGGAACATCATTTTCACCAAGTTGTGATTTCCCTTTAAACATAAACAAAAATAAGAATTATAAAGGAGCAGTTAAAAACAAGAACTACTTAACTTAAACCCACCTGCTCTTCCCATGGAAACACGAGATTCCCTGTTTCAAGTCGTCTTTTAGACTGAAGGAATCCCATTCCTGCCGGCTTTCTCCTCGGCAGAGACGCTTTCACAAAGAAAAGGCCTCTGAAGATGTGAGTTTTGCAAATAACAAAAATTTTGAAAAGATAGTAGAGCCTTTTTCTGAAATGTCTGTTCCTGGGCCTGGAGCTGGTGTTTGCCCCACACTTCCTCCAACCTTCACTGCAGAGTCACCCAAAGTGACCGTACAGTGCCTCTAACCCGCACAATGGCGGCTCTAGGCATCCTGGAGCCTCTAATCTTGAACAGATCTAACTCAGAAGAGGAAAGAAAGGCAAGAGGAGCAAGGTGCTTTCATGCTCATTAGCATTTCCAATTTCCTCTTTCCCTGCTCCTCCTCCTCCCTGAAATGGGGCACAATGCACTAATTCTTTGTGATTGATCCTGGCCTGTAGATAACAGGGTGTACTTTCTTGCTTTCATATTCCCTTGTCTGTCATACAAAGCAATCTAAAATGCTGCCTACAAGGAGAGCCAGCATAAATCTGAAAAACTTAACTGTCCACGGAGAGAGTGTTTGTAGAGCTTTATTTCAAGTTATGACTTTTTTTCCTCCTGTTTTCATAAAGGGGGGGTGGGGAGAGGTGGATCTGATTACTTCAGCCCTCCTCTTTCAGAATCACAGTTAGAGAAGAATGTGAGTCATTTGGAAACGAGCACTCAGCCCCGTTCCTATCACTCTCTGGAAGCTACAGACATTTTCACGGCACGTACACGGATGATCAATTTCTAAGCACATCTTTGTTTTTCCTAAATAGCCGCATTATTTGTCTGATGTTGAAAATGGCATCTGTACTGTATGTGATTTCCATACTCACTTGGCACCATCAACTGCCTTTGATGACACTCAGGATTTTTTCTTTTTTGTCTTCTTCTCTCCAGCTGCAAGGCCCAGATGTCAGGTTCAGGAATGCGTTTTCTCTGGCAGAGATATCTAGCTTCTCTCTGCGGTCCCTAAGTTGGTCACTATTGTGAAACTGCCAGCAAAATAGCACAAGATCACACGAAAGACGGGATTCAGATGTTTCTGTGAAAAATAAAAACAGAGTCTGAAACTGAGAGGAAAAACACATTCCTTGTGCCTCTAATTATAAGCCAGGCAAGTGGCAGGCTGTGCCTGAGCAAATTGCGATTTCCCCCATTTATCGGCTGCTCATCCATTTTCTCCTCTTGACAGTTTTTTATCTCCCCAGTCTCCATCTGAAATCAGCAGCTGGGTACGATGAAGGTTTTGCCTAAGTTAATCAAACCTAGGGCAGTGACAGGGTCAGACCCTATGTAAAATAGATGAACAAGGAAAAGGAAAAAAAGAAAGAAAGGAAGGAAAGAAGAAGGGAGGGAGGGAGATAGACTAAAGGAATTGGTAAGGTGAGCCAAGGATAAGGGCCAGACGACCACCCAGAACTACTCTGCCCAGGAGGCAATTTGTGGCAGCATTCATGTTACCTGGGTGTTGGGATGCCGCAAATAGCTTTTCTTCTTTAAGCAACCTTTGCAAATATAAATGGAGATCAAGCTACAACCTGCCCTCTATTATCCCAGCCTGGCTTACACTGAGTCTAGCTTCAAAGACATCTTGAATGAGGCAGAAACGCAAAGAATCGTAGCCCAAAGCACCACATACCAGTGAGGGCTGTGTTAGACCAGGAGGCGAAGAGAATCTTAAGCCATAGGGGAGCCTTGTGGTGTCTAATTATTTTTTTCCTTTCGAAGCAGCTGCCCTGGGCCGAGCAGTTGTGTGCAGGGCAGAGTTTAGAAGCTTCCCACGGTCGAGTTAGTCTACGGACTGTCCACCAGCTGCCCCTTGCTCGCCGCCTCAGACACTCTCAACAGTTCAAAGGAGTTTGCTGAAACTTCATTAGCAAGAGTCTGTCTCCCAGGCCAAAATTCAAGTTATCCAGTGCTTTTAGATGTACAAAGTCGTGTTGCACCTTAACAGAATTTGGCTTCATGAATTCACCCATCCACAGGATGCACCATGCCATGTGTGGCTCTACCATTTCACGGTGTGGCCCATGTGGATCCAGATCACGTCTCTGTTTAAGGGAGGTCCACTCAACTGCAGTCTGATTCTTCTGCTTCCCTCCACAGGCTAGCTCCCAGGGCCATCCCTGCTCCTGGAGCTCAGGGCAGTCTAAGTGCAGTACGGATGTGAGACTTTCTCCAGCCTCCATCTTTGAATCTAGAGAACGGAGTGAATGCTTGGGAATGTCAGCCAACTGGAGTAAAGCAACACCTGCAGATTCCTCTGGGAGTTTACACCCAGCCGTGGCTTCTCCATCTCCCTCATGCTCACTGATTCAATTCTAGGCTTATTTTGATTCAACGTGGGCCCAAAGGGCAAGACAGTTACAAGGATTTTGAAGGCTGGTCATATACTCTAGAGCACAGATGATGCAGCACACCTATATTAACTCTGCAGCGAAAAGTGGACATGGTGAATTTGTGGAAAGAAGGTGCGTTCATATCACAGGGCATAAATAAGAGCATGAACTCTACAGTAAATGTAGTCTTTTTTTAAAAATCACAAAACTTGAGAATCACTGGATTTTTAAGGGAATTTTCAGAGAAAGTATGACTTTATCCAAATGTGGGTTACTGCTGCTTCTCTGGATCACGGCCCTTAGGTCAAATGAAACACCACTGTCAAGGCCACTCAAACGCAGAGTAGGATGATGATGTCCTTTCTAGCCAGTGTGCTTCCCAAGCCTCCCTATCACCTGCCTTCTCCCCACCTCTGGCCCTCAGCTAGATTTCCCCTGCTCACTGCTTCAGCCAGACTGGCCTCCCCTCTTGCCTTGTTACTGGCTAATTCTGAGTTAGCTTCAAAGACATCTTGAATGTTTCTCTCTATCCTGTGAGCACAGCAAGCTCTTCAGTAACACAGAAGATTTAGATGTCTCCCCAAAAGGCAAAATGCACCTCAGTCTTGTACCCAGCCTCTCACGTAAACTGCATCTTGGACCCCTGGTTACACGCATACTCCAGAAGACTTTCCAATCTGATTCTTCTCGTTCACACGCTGTCTCCCTTCCCCACCATCACCTGCCTTATCTCCACCAGGCATTTTGACACAATCTTTTGCTTCCACACTGGTATTGAAGAGAAGCTGAGGGTGCTTACAGGTCAGTGCCTCTTGCTCTGTTGTATTCCCTCCAGCTGGGTCCCATGTCACACAGCTGGTGCCTGAGCTGTAGCCGGCATCTGTGGAACAGGCAGCCTGGCGGCCTCAAACAGGGCTCCCCTAGTTCAGCACATACATCAGTGCTGGGTGGTGAGTGGAGTCTACCCAGCTTGGGGCATCTGGTTGACAGTACCTGAAGGGCTTCTTTTACTTGAGATTTAAGAAGCCACAAAATGAATGTGATGCGAAGGAAGAAAATGAATGAGCTACACGTAGGTTGTTTAACAACCTACTGTCCTAGGTAATTTTTTCATACATCTCATGAGTTAGAGAAAATTCCATTTATGGTCCTCTTGTCAGGAAGACCATGTGGGTGCTCGGGATAAATATTTTATTTGCTCCATTGAATTGGGGGTGGAACCCCTAAGGCACCTTCTCTGGCAGCAATAGGTGTTCCCTAAACTGCCCTTCAGAGAGGGCCTTTGTTTTGCAGACTGAGGAGGTATACAAGTTGGGGACTGAACTGAGCTTTCTGGTGAAAAAGGTGAAAGAGATGGAGAAGGAGAAGGGGATTTGGGCAATCAAATTTGTCTGGGGACCACATCTGCAGTTGTTTGCTGTGTATTGCACAATAGAAATTACCTCTGTTTTCCCTATGAAATCTTCCATAGGCTTTCCTTAAAAATCACAAAGTGCAAATATAATTAGACTTTTTGGTGTGGAAATGGTACAGGCACCAGGTCTGCCTACCAGATCCTGCAGCACCAAGTGCATGTAAATGAGTGGGACCCTGTATACCCCAACCATGGGTATGCCACAGAGGGGATCCAGTTTATCCGCTTTGTGCTTTCATGCTAATCTTCTTGATCAGACTCCAGGGCTCTCGAGGACTCTGTGTTTTTTGTTTTCTGGTGATTATAATGCAAGAACTTTCTCAATTTACCAGCAAATTTTCTCTGCTCTAGCTGCTGTTGCTGTCGCAGCTGGCAGCTTTTCACAGTCTCAGCACATTTGTGTGTTCTGCATCATGTCCTAGTCGGCTCAGTTTTGGGATGCCTGCTCTGGGATGTGCTTTGTGTCCAGTTTTGACCACTTACCCTTGAAAATGGCTGTCAGATTTCCTGGTTCTCCAAGTGACTCCTCACCTTTAGACATAGGGTCACAGGGCCATGACCTCACAGATCACACCTTGCTGCCACTTCACTACATGCCCACAGGTCACCCATTCATTCACTTTAAAAACATTTATTGAGCACCTTCTTTGTGCCTGGCACTTTTTTAGTTCCTGCTTCCATGGGGCTTACAATCTAGTGAGAGAAAAAGACTATCAACAAACAGATAGACAATGTGTGCTGGACAGTCTCTCTTTGCTACTCCAGATCCACTCCCCACCCTCCTCCACCTTGCTCTGTGCCCCAAGAGGCGGACTTCTATCTATTGCATTGCTTGGGCTTCCTTGACATCTGGCTTCTGGGTGGGTTTGGCCAATGTGTGGCACCAGCAGGAGATGGAAGGTCAGAAGAAAAAGAAGGTGTTTACTCCCCTGGTCCTCCCTCTACCAGGTGGTGACTTGGCAGCAACTATGTTCCTCTACCTAGGGCCACGTGTCCTGATGGAAGGCCTCTCCACCATGGCTATAGCTCTCTGTGGGTTCCAGTATCAGCTTCCTTCCCTTGTCCCTTCAGGGTCGTCATGCTTTCCTTAAAATAGCTTCCCACTATGGACAAACCCTGGATACTTAACCATTTCCATTGTCCCTTCAGGGTCACCACACTTTCCTTAAAATAGCTTCCCACCATGGCCAAATGCTGGATGCTTAACCATCCCTGGTTGGTTCTCTTAACTCTCCCCACATCCTTGAAAATAGTTCTTTCATTAAATTACCCCAAGGAAAGTGTCATCTGTTTCCTACCAGGATCCTGTTCTATATAAACGTCAAATGATAAGAGTTATAAAATATATATATATATATAGGGGCCGGCCCGGTAGTGCAGTGGTTAAGTGTGGACGTTCCACTTCGGTGGCCCAGGGTTTGCTAGTTCGGATCCCGAGTGTGGACCTACACACCGCTTATCAAACCATGCTGTGGCAGGCGTCCCACATGTAAAATAGAGGGAGATAGGTATGGATGTTAGCTCAGGGCCAGTCTTCCTCAGCAAAAAGAGGAGGCTTGGCAGCAGTTAGCTCAGGGCTAATCTTCCTCAAAAATAAATAAATAAATAAATAAATTTTATATATATATATCTATATATGTAAAGCAGGGTAAAGGATAGAGAGTGAGAGGGAATGAGGGGAGGAGGGTTAATTAGTATAGAGTGGGCCGTAGTCAGGGAAATAATCTCTGAAAAGGTGATGTTTGAGCACGAAGGAAGTAGGGAGTAAGGCATATGGATGTCAGGGGAGGAGCCCTCCTGGCAGAGGCAACAACAAATGCAAAGGCCTGAGGAGGGGGTTTCTTAGAGTGGTTAAAGGGCTATAGAGGTCCAGGTGCCCAGAGTGGAGTGAGGATGAAGGCAGGGATAGGACATGAGAGCAGAGAGGTGGCAGAGGGCCAGACTAGTTAGGGCGTTGTTATGGGCTGGATGCTTGTGTCCCCCAAAAATCCACATGTTGATGGTATTAGGAGGTGGAGCTTGAAGTAGGCGATGAGCGTGGAGCCCTCATGAACGGGATTAGTGCCCTTATAAAAGAGACCCCAAAAAGCTCCCTTGCTCCTTCCACTGTGTGAGGAGAAGTCAGTAGTCTGTAACGAGCCCTCACCAGAACTCGGCCGTTCTGGCACCCTGATCTCGGGCTTCCAGCCTCCAGGACTGTGAGAAATAAACTTCTGTTGTTTATAAGCCACCTAGTCTGCGGTACTTTGTGTTAGCAGCCCGAATGGACTGAGACAGCCTTATAGATCACGGTAAGGACTTTAGAGTTTCTTCTGAAAGAAATGGGAAGCCATGGGAGAGTTTGAGCAGAAAAATAACATGATCTGACTTACTTTTAAGAGGATCACTCTCATTGCTGTGTGGAGTGTACACCGTAGAGGGTGAAAGTGAAAGCAGGGAACAGCATTAATGGGCAATTCCAGCTGTCTATGCAAGAGACAATTATGGCTTGGATTGCAATATGAAGGCAGTAAAATGTCAGAAGTTTGTTTTTGTAAATGTTAATTTGAGATGCTTATTCTATATCCAAGTGGAGACGACAAGTAGGCAATAGATTTTCAGCTCTGGAGTTTGGAGGAGAGGTCAGGACTGGAGTTATAAATTAGGGAATTATCAGTATATACATGGCATTTAAAGTCATGGACCTGGATGAGATCACCTTGAGTGACTGTCAATGTGGATGAAGACGTCCAAGTGCTGAGCAGAAGGTCCTACCATCATTTAGAGTTCAGAGGATGCAACAAATGTGCCTGAATGAGGTGGGAGGGGATTCAGAGAGTGGCCCCAATGGCTACGTGAAGAAAGAGTTTCAAAAAAGAGGGAGTAATCAACTGTGGTGACGTCCACATGAGAGTTGACCACTGGATTTAGCGATGCGGAGCTCATTGGTGACCTTGAAGGGAATAGTTTTGGCAGGGTTGTGTGGATGAAGACCAGTTTAAATGGGTTCAAGAGATAGAAAGGGAGGAAAGGAAATGGAGTCAAGGATGAAATATAACTCTTTTGAATATTTTGCTATAGTAAGAATCAGAAAACCGAGGATGCAGCTGGAAGGGAACATGGGGTCAAGGAAGGCTTTGCTATGTTTTGATTTGCAGGCTGATGGGAATGATCCAGTAGAGAGGGAAAAAACTAATAATGTGGGAAAGAGAAAGAGGCCAGTCATGCAGGAGAGAGGAGTTAGCCTTAGATAGGAGCACAGTCAGTTCATTCCGGCCTACCAGAGGGAAGACAGGGAAGATGGACACGGATAGAGACGGGTAGGTAGTTAAGGTGGTGGAAGCTCTCTTTCAATTCCTTCTATTTTCTTAGTAAGAAATAAGAAGCAAGGTCATCAGCTGAGAACAAGGAAGGAGGAGGTGGTATTGATGGTTTAGGAGAGAGAAGGTGTAAAATGGACATCTAAGAGAATAGAGAGTGAGTTGACTGGAAATTTATCACTGGGCAACACTAAGTGTCCCCTTGAGGTTTGTGGTCATACGGACCAGTGACCTCTTGCTGACCATACATCTTTGTGGTCTGACCAACCCTCGCATATGGCTCCATGTTCCATCTTCAGTATGCCCTGACCCTTGGGAAGCACTCATCCCCCTGCTCTCATCTCTCGGCATATTGAAAGGCCATCTTCCCAGCACTGTGGCTTTGGAAAGGATGGCTTTCAGGCAAGGTGCCACTGGGAAGACTGTCCCCCTGAAGACACCATCAGAGCCTTCTCTATTCTTCCTATTTCTCTCATTCAAACTGTCTGATCCGGGAGACAGGGATTAACGCTGTAACTCTGCTTTCACCCGCCTAGGCATTGTGTTAGGTGCTTCAGGAATATAAAACTAATAGGGATCCTGCCTGCATTCAATGAATGCATAATCTGCTGGGGGAGCAGTGATTTGTACACAAGTACCTGTGTACAATAGCTAAGCCCACTTGACCGTGAGCACTTCCAGGGCTGTAGCTGCACTAACTAGAGTAGGGGTATGTGATTCAGATCAGATGCTACAGGGGATCAGAAATGCAAGAGATGAGGAAGGGTTTAGAGACTCGGGAAGTGTGTACTGGGGCAAGAGGACTTACGCACAGTCATTAGGCATGCAAATCGTCTTGTGGGCTTTCCAATGTGTGCAGTGGAATACGTTAATAAGTTCAATTTCCCCCAGTGCTGAAGCTCTGCTCTATGCCTTTGAACTGACACACCCTGTCAAAATATGTGGAAATTGAGTACCCTGAGTTCAGACCTCCCATGGAGAATCTGAAGGGAAGAAAGAAAGAAGGACTCACCTGTTGGCTGCCACCACCTCGCTCCCTCCCAGACAGCAGGATGCAGAAGCCTTGGCCCATACTTCTCAGCAAATTTCCTTTTCAAGATGTCTTTACCCTCAGTGTTTGTTTCAACCAGTTTGCCCACATTGGGGGTGGGGGAGAGGCGTCAATGGAGAGATACACTCCCTCCCTCCCGGGATGGCCTCCTTCCAGTTCCTGGGAATCTGGGATTGCACATCATCTCTTTTCTGGATGCCTACGGTTAGGGAAGGAATTAGCTCATTTTGCCAGTTTGAATTAATAAACTGGAGGTGTGCTGTTTGTCTCATAGCTGTCGTGCAGCTGAGTGACAGATCTACGCCTTTGTCTGATGCTGAGGCTCCGTAAGAAACACCACATATTCTTGCTGAACTCTGATGGAAAGATAAGCACCACAAACAATTAAATTTTAGATTGTACCTGTCATTCACTATACCTTTCCAGTGCTTCACAGTGATAAGAAACCCGCCTAACATCTGGCATCCCAAAGATCTTAAAACAAGGTTAGTTCGTTTCATAACCCTAAAGAGGTGCAGAAACTGCATTACAGCAAGTAATAGAAATACTGGTCCAGAGTACCATTGGAACATCATAGAGAATAAAATGACTAGCTAAGAGAAGAAAAGAAAATCAATGTTGTTTGGGCTTAAAGGGCAAACTGCAGGAATATCTAAAATCAGCAACCTCAAGGACACAGAGCAACAGAAAAGAAAAATAAATCTAGGGTAAACAAATTCAGACCATAGAGGGGCTTATTTCCTGACTGACATCAAAAGTTGATTGTCCTTTGCCACAACAAGTGAGACAAATGACACCCCCTTCGCCCAGCACCCCGTTTTCTAACCCCAGCATCCTGGCGTTCTCAGGATGACATCTGTTAATGGCCAAAGCTAGTTACAAGTCTTTAGTAAAAAGCAAACAAGAGTTTTGCTCTGGGAAACCCAGGAAGAGACTTCCTCACTAGTCAAGCCTGTGTCAGAGTGGGAGGAAAAGGGTGGTTTTCTGAGAGAAGAGACCTGTCTGTGCTGCTTGAGAGGAAGGTGGGGACACCACCAGCCTTGAACAGGGCTTGGCCGGGAACACCGCTTGCTTAGGCAGAGCTGGGAGGCAGACCTGGGAGCCGATGGGGTCTTTGGATGAGCTGGGAGTTGAGCCGGTGTGTGGTGGGGGCAGAGCACTGCAGGAGGCTCTGCCTGGTCTGGGAGTAGAACAAGGACAAGGATGGGACTGAATGCGGAAAACCATCTCTGAGCTAGAGAGAGGGGCTAACCACTCCTGAGTATTTGTCATCCATACCCTCACTTGGCAACTCAACTCTGGGTGGTTATTTAACATCATTTATAGTCAATATCACCCCAACTAGATGGTCATATTCTTGAGGGAAAGCTTTTTAAGTTAAGCATTTAATCTCTATAGCAACCTCTGAGATAAGTACTATGACCGGCTCTATTTTGCATGGGAGGACACTGAGGCAGAGAGAGAGATGGATAAGCAACTAATCCAGGATGACACAGTTAGTGAGGGATTCCTTACATTTTTATTGAATAAAAGATTAAATCAATGAAAAGCCATGCATAGATTTTCAAAAATATTCTTTTCAACTTTCTCAAGCAAGTTTAAGATGCCATTGGGAAGTCATAATTAAAGTATTGGAAGCAAACTGTTTGAAGAGAGCAACTCAAAGTGGGTGCATTGAGATAGCAAAACAGTCAAAAGGTGGTCTGTAATTAGTGTATTTGATCGTAAAAAGCACAACAGTGAAGCCTGTTATCTAAAGCAAGAGATAAAAGACAATGCAGAGTTAAAGATAACAAATTTCAACAGTCAGGGATTTAAGTTCTCTGGAAATCACAGCTGTTTTTTGTATATGCCAACCAACTGGAACTCATCACAGGACTCATTGAAAGCCCACAAGGTCCTGGCCAGGCTTACAATAGCCTGCAGAAGCCTCTTTCAGGGCCTTACATTTGAAAAAAGGATTCACCATGAGAAGTCAAGAGGAAACTGACATGGTAAGTGTGAAAGGACAGGCTTTACAGCATAGTTTCATACACCCTAACAT